TTAGGGCTCGAGATAGATACAGCCGACACTTCAAAGAGTGTAGGTCTAAAGGTTCTGTACACACTTGTTTGTAAATTGGACATGGGCCTCCAAAGATTTAAAGTCTTTGACTTGCTGACAGATAAAGGCGCTGATGGCACACACCAGATAGATACAGGGGACAATAACGTGGCAAGCTGTCAAGGTTCTTTGACCGTTCTATGTCTCCAAAGATATCTGCAAGCATCAAGTCTTACTCCTGCACCCTATTTTATCTGTAGGTCTCATTTCCACAGCAGCTAATCACTACAGCCACAGACATGGCAGCTTTGATGTTCGTGTCACACATTTTCTCTGTTATCAGATGCAAATGTCCCAACAAGACTATAAGCGAGAGAGAAGGGCTTACTGCTGCGGACCCTTCTCTGCAACTCATTAGGAAAATGGTGTGCTTTGGGGTCAGGTCTGGGATTAATGTTTGAATTTATAATCAGAGTTCGTTATAGAGAAACAGAGGGAAAAATGGGTCAGCGGTGGGTGTTGGGAAGTTAAAAGGATCTCTCCGAATTGTGTGTCATGCTGTTGAGTGGCATTTTATTTGTCATGGAAATACTGAGTGGGCGACGGATGAGAGGGAACAGTGATGACAGAAAGAAGAGGAGCAGGTGTGTGTGTGTGTGTGTGTGTGCGTACAAATGCTATGATGTGCTCTGTCTGTCAGAGGCACAGAAACCATAATCACACGCTTTCATCCCCCCCTCCTACACACACTATATAGATATTTTATCGCTATATAAGGAACAATATTTTATATAACAATCAGGGCAGGCGAGAGTTAAGTAATGATGACACCATAACCACAACAAAGGTGTTGTTTCCATGAAGATCCTGAAAGAGGGGTCTGATAAAGGAGTCCGTTTTTAGCCAGTTCCTTTAGAAATGTGTTATTCTGACATAAATAAAAATTCACACATCCTCCACATGTTTGGTGGGACCTTGCAATTTCACCCAGTCCTTGCATAATAAAGTAAAAAGCGAGCTGTAAGTGTGACCAATCACTGCCCTTTATGAATTGTCCAATGTTCAGATCAGACTCTGTGTTGTCTCAGGCTGCGTGTCATCCTTACAACTCAGATATCAACCAATTCTAACATTAAACCATCTCTGCCCCAGTACCTCAAACTAACAATGTGGTTTATGGAGTTATAGCTCAACTAGGCCGTTTACTTGGACCACTGTCCTTGTCCCAGTGTACAAGCACCGGAGTGGAATTGATTTATTGACCGAAGTTTGTCCGACTGTGCTAGGATATGTGGCCATATGCCATCTTTCAGCTTGTTGGTATTGGACCTTTTTCCAGTTGACCTATTACATCACAGACCAAACAATCACCATTCTGTGTTTGCCTCCGTCCATGTATTTTGAAATATTTAACTTTCAGCGGACACAGCATGAACTGTGTCTCCTTGTCCGTCCAAAATTGCACAGCTCTGGATGTAGATTTCACCATGTTGTTACCAGCATCTGCTATTCGCCTTCTTGGTCAAAGCCTGGGGTGAAAACTGGAGCATGTTCAGTGCACCTAGGCCAGTTTGGGTCTGAGTGGCTTTATACATGTAGGAGTAGTTTGACTCCCAATCACTTGCCAATCTGAGTGTGTTTTTAGCCCCTTTTACACTGCTAGATTTTCTGCGAAAGTTTGCCGGCAAGCTGCGAGTGTTTAGACACACAGAGCCAGATTGGCGAGTTGATCCGAGGTGCCCAATTTTCCGTCTCGTAGGGTAGTCATATTGGCGGAACCCTTTAAACAGACGGAGGCGGCCTTCCGCAACGGGAGGGGCTGTTGAAGACTTGTGAGAGGAGCTGTTGATGACGCAGCACGTGTGACCCACTGGCGGTGGATAAACAGGAAACAGCTGATAGCAGGAATTAGCGAGCAGCTAGTAGCAAGAGGGAAACACAAACCTGACAGACACTGTGAAGATGAGCAACTGGGGAGACAAGGAATTGCGCGCCCTCCTTGTCCTCGCAAATAAAGAGGCCATTAACCGTCAGATGACGGGGACGGTGAAGAACGGGCCGACTTACGAGAGAATTGTCGAAGGACTGACCAGCTGCAGCTTCCCTCCCACGTCACTGTTTACGTCACAAGCTGAGCTACACGTTTTGTTACTTGCTCACACCCCCCATTGCCCCAAAAAAGGCACATTCTGTATAAACAAAAGTAGGTAGGCGGCATTTTGCTGCACTCCCCGATTTTGTTTTTATACTGCCAATGCTGAAAAAAGACTGATTGGGCTTTCCTGCAAATTTGCACAATTCCTATCTAAAAAGGGCTAGTGCAACTTTGAGAGATTTGATTTAGTACGATTTCAGTCAGACTAACATGTTTACATGTATTTTCAAAAGTCCGGTTTTAGTCGGACTAACTCATCTCAACAGACAGGGTAGAAACTTGTGGGACTGACTTGTAAGTCATCTGTTTTAAACATTTTCCATAACACGTTCTCGTCAAATACCAATGCTAGGTCTGTAAAAAACAACAACAAACAAACGTAAAAATATGACATGCTAGGTACCTTTCTGTATCTGTTTTGACAACCTGGTCTCACTCAGAGCTTGTTGAAAACTGCTGTTTAGTCAGTGACTTCCGGTGTCAGACACCAACGAAAAAAAACGTCCTTTCATGTCAGCGTGATACACAGCCAGTCAGGCAGCAGCGGGTGGGAAGGGTGGTGGACTTTCACCCGGGAGGCCGGTGTTTGCTTCCTGTGAGACTGTAAAGCCAAATCCTGTTCTTATTTCCTAAACCCATCATTGCCTCGACCCCACCACGTGCTATTGTTGCCTAAACCCAGACACATGTATTTGTTGTTGGAAGAAAAACAACGTCAATTTGCGGTGTTGTACCGACGTAGTGCGTTTATTTGGAAAAAGACTGTATGCAAATTGTACATTTTCCTGTGGTTGACTGTCTTTTGACTCAGCTGCATGCTCCATCAGTAGAGACTGGATACTGACCCCTGGTCGCACGTGCTGCACACTGCATTCAATGAGTTAGACAGACAAAGGTGCGCATGCATTTTTGAGGATATGGAAAATGATACTGTCAGGATAATTTAATAAAAGAGCTCCGTCAGCTGCAGGATTAACATGTTTAACTCATTAACACACCATCATTAACTTTCTTTTAATACCTTTCGTACATTTGGTGGATAATACCTCTGTGCTTTTACTTTAGTAGGATTTAAAATGCAGGACTTTTACTTGTAAAGTATTTTTTATATTGCCGTGTTGCTGCTCTCACTTATGTAAAAGATGTGAACTCTTCTTCCCTCACTGGTGAACAGCCAGTCAGTTGGTGAGTGCTATTGTGACTGTAAGAGTGTGTCAGTCTGCCTGTTACCAAGGCAGCTCTGGACTGTTTTTGTCGTGATTCATGTTCATATTAAATCATCATGTTAAAGCTGGTGGGGTGCATATGAAGTGAAACTATGTTTACAACCTGGTTTCTGTACCTGATGTGCTGATGATAACGTCTCAGTGAATGAGAGAATTAAAGACATGACTGCCTCTGTGTGGATTACACCTCTTCTGTTACTGGACACTGAATCTTGAAGGAAACTGAGCTGCTGATGGACTGTCTGGTTGTCTGCTTGCTAGACAGCACCCTCATGTGGAGAAAAGGTGACTGTGCGTTTGCTCTAAGTGGCCCAAATGTGACTGTTTCCTCTCCCTTAAATGTATTAAATTGAATTAAACTGAGTTTTCAGCTCACACTGAATTACAGCATTAATTCTTTAATACTTTATATGTGCTTTTAAGATCTGAAACATGTCTGAGTAGGTGCTTGATTGTCATATGAGATCGAATTTTATGTTGCTTCATTGGATCATGTGTGAAAGGATACGGCTGGAGATATGAAGTTTTATGTGTGTGTCAAAACCAGTGTTCCTGAGCTTCATTGTACTCACGTAAGAGCCAAATGTGGATTCATCCGCTGCTGAAAATAGTCCCTAACAAATGCACTGTATGGACTATAGCTCATATATTTGTGAGGTGTTTTTATAGATATAGGTCTTCAGTAGGAAAGAATGGGCAGGGTAGGGAAGTCAGAAAGTACTGAGAGATGAACTCTCTCTGTCTCTTCCTCTCTTAATGTACCAGTTTGAGGTTCTTGAGGTTTCTACCATTTCCCCCCCCAATGAAGGTTTTTTTGGGGGAGTTTGTCCTTATCTGCAGTGATGGTCCAAGGACAGAGGGATTTATAAATAAAACTGAATTCAACTGAATGTAGCTCCTGCCATCTGGTGGCGCTTTTATGTTACTACAACAACATTTCAGTTGGCACATAAACAGCCACAATGACTGAATTAATAGTATTAATAATAAAAATAGGACAAGAATAATCCGATGACATCATGCACGTGGTAAAAGACGACCAGCAATGATTGGTTGTGGAACAACATGCAGTCTGTCATGTCTGTGGGCCAAGTCACAGCATCATTTTATCACTCCACAATGACCTAATCTGACATAGTGACTGTCGGAACCTGGCGAGTGCACGAAATGGTGTTTCTGTCCACTTTAACGTCAATATAAACTCTCTTGTTGCTCTGTTTTTGGTCTCCACCAGTGGCTGAGGGAAGTATGTTTTTTTTTTAGTTGCTAAACGCTCCACTATGTTCACCAGCTGCTCTCTAACTCTGTCCGTCTTCTGCCGAACCAAAGCAGTAAATGAAAGCTCTGTAGACCCGAGGGATCATCACTATCAGAGACGCCTTTCTCATTGTGCTGCCTTATAGGAGACATTTCTGAGGAAAGCAAACGTCGAGGCTGGTTATTTCAGACTGTTTGAGCTGTAGTGTTTGTTGTTTGCTTTCTGTTCGCAAGGAAAACAGTTCTGTTGGACTAAATCAACACATTTTGAAGTCATCACCAGGTTGTCTGACAAACAACGACTCATGCAGTGCTGCTTAGCAAAAGGTGTGGTTATAATTAAAAGGGAATACCATTCCTTTTTAATGTAATTCATGTACACAGGAGTGTGGCAGGTGTCAGGTCTTGGCTCCATCAAGGACATAAAGCAAACAGTGCAACAAAAACTGGTGAGCAGCAGTTAGTCAGACAGAGTTTCAGTCAGGCATGTGACAGGACAGCTCACAGTGAGGCCCTGATTGTAGTCATTATCCACTTCCTGGTTTTAGCCGGGCGGGTAGTAGAGGATCAGTGTGTGTTTACGACAGTGCGTGTGTGTAGCAGCGTGCAACTCAGCTGAGTGTGTGTGTGTCAGAGTGTGCCTCACATGGAGTGTAATTAAACTCAGCGAGGAACTAAAGAAGAAGAGAGGAAGGAGGAGCAGGAGGGGACACAGTCTAAAGTTAGTGAAGAGGGGAAAAGAAGAAGAAGAAGAGGAGGGAGAGGGAGGAGGAGGAAGACAGAGGAGTGAAAAGCTGAAGAACAAACAAAAGGTGGACACTGAGAGACAGTCCAAGGAGCACTGGACGACACTGCACTGATACTACTGCTGCTGACAGCAACACTGCTGAGTGGGAGATGTGGAGAGGAATGCTGGGAAGGATTATCTCTCCCTCAGGACTCAACACTAATCTCTCTCTCTCTACACACACACACACACACACAAACACACCTTGTGTATCTTGTAAAAGACCTTTGGCATGTGGATTACTGACTTTGTAGCCTCTGCAGGGTAGCCATGTTTGAAGTCCTAGAGTGGTTTAAACGTAGTAATCATTCATTGTAGAGTGTAATATAATAGTGGCAGTTTGAGTGTAGTACTTTCATAATATACTCTCGTTAAACATAATTCCTGAAAGTATATCATACCATTGTATACTGACGTTTGTGTTGTTGCTGTAGCTGCAGCAGAGTACATTTAATTTAGCAGTTTAGCAGTTTTAAAGTAGAGTCCAGTGTTTTGAAGTTTCTGGAGCATAGGGAGTCCTGTTCATATGACAGCTTCGGAGGAGTTCTTTAAAGGTCCCATATTCTACTAATTTTTAGTTTCATATTTGTATTCTGGGTTTGTACTAGAACATGTTTTCATGCTTTAATGATCAAAAATCACATTCATTCTTTCAAACTATCTACCTGAATATACCTGTATTCACCCGCTGTCTAAAACGCTCTGTTTTAGCGCCGGTCTCTTTAAGCCCCCCTCCTCCTAAGAAAAAGACCAGTCTGCTCTGATTGGTCTGCGGGTGTTCCTCATCTGTTTGGGTCTTTGCGCTGTCATTGCAAACTGGGGAACGACTGTAACGGCACTGCAGCAGCCGTTTCTACCTTTATTCAGTAAAGTTGTGACATCACAACTTCAACAGAACTCCTGACGGCTTGTTTTAAAGGCACAGGTTCTAAATACAGATTTCTCAGAGGATTGATTTTGAATCTTTTTTACAGTATTCATATCACACCTACACCTGCTTTATCATAAAAAAAGGCATGGAAATCTGGCTTTTCAGAATATGGGACCTTTAAATGTAATGGCCCCTTGGTTGTAGTTCTTTGAGTAGACACAATCAGTCTTTGTCTCATGGATCTAGGTCATATTCCTACTATGATAGCTTTATGACGGCAGTAAAGCAATTTGGCACTGAGAGCCTTGTGTCTAACCAGAGTCCCATTCATGGTTGTCACATTTGTATGGAAGATTTAATTGGCAGCTTAGTGGTTTCCTAGAAAGCCTCAACAATCTGCGGTCGGACTGCCTCTCTACATGGAATTCATTTGAACTCCTTTGGGAATATTTGGAATACCTAAAGAAACATTTGGAGTCCTTCTTTGGGATTGCTTGGACTACACGGGAGATTCAGGACCAAAGTAATATATGGCCTTTTCTTTCTAGGAATATTGCGAACTTTGCAAGAACTACCCAGAATTACAGTAGTTACAGCTCATCCTGCCAAAATGTTACAGGTCCAGAGACCAGAGTATTGGAGTGTTTGGAACATAGTGCAGTTCTGTTAATATGACCACTTAAGAGGAGTTCTTTAAATGAACTGTAGTGATTTTATTGATGTACCCTGGTGCAGCCCTTTGGCTATAGTTCTTTGAGTACACACAATCAGTCTTTGTCTCGTGGTTGAGCAACTGGTGCACCTTTCTTAGAAAGCCTTAAGAACCGTCTCCTGCACATGGTATTCATTTATATAAAGGAACGTTCGGAGTCTTCTGTTAGGATTGCTTGGACTATACAGGGGATATTCAGGACTGAAGTCATTTATGGTCTTTCTTTCAAAGAGTATTGCAAACTGCCCAGAATTACAGCTCACCCTGACAAAATGTTACAGAGGTTAGGGTAAGGACCTGAATGAATTGTCCGTCATGGATTCCGACCTGGGAGCAGACACTGATCTGGGACACGAGGCTGGACTTGAAGCCTGTGGTGGTGCCTCTGAACAACAAATTGAAGAGACAGAAAGAGAGGGGCTGCTGAACGTAAAAGAAGGTGATGGAGAATTCAGCTCTGCATCCTCCTCCTCTAATTCCTCCCTGCCCTCCTCCTCCACCCTCCCGGCATTCCAAATCTGTGTGGAAGAAGAGAAGGAAATGCTGACCGGCTGCTCCAAGTCTTTATCCGGACTCAAGCTCTTCACAAGGAGGTAAGACTCAGCGGGTAAAAAGGGTGAAAACAACGACCTGAATATTAAAAACATTGAGGATAAATAATGGTGAATGGTGGTCTACCACGCACTGGTGTAATACCTTGTATTGGCCAGCAGGTGGAGCCATTGGTTGAGACTCAGCGTCCTGCTATGATTAGACAGGATGTGAACAGATGTGTAGGACTTGCAAGTCACATTAAGGCAGCTCACAACTGCAGTAACACAATCCAAGCCTTAAATATGCACACACACACACACACACACACACACACGATAAGGCCTTGCACATTTCTAGTGAAACAAACTCAGACCGCCACACAACCTTGGATCTAGTCATTAGATAACACGGCCATGTGCCTCCTGCACAGTTGAAGGTTCAGCTCAAACGTTTGGGAAAGAATACAGAAATGTTCTTTTTGCGGCTGTCCCTGCGACTCGGGGTAGATCAGGCTTATATTTTTCTGTGTTTGTGTGTATGTGTATATAACCTTGCCACTGGGTCACTAGTCATCATGTGGAGAGGGGACACGATTCCCACAGCAACAGGGGCAGCAGTTGTCATGCCAACGTTAGCAACGATGTCAGTCGTGCCTCCAGCTTGGCTCCGATAAACAGTTGTCAGGAAGCGAGGGATCATGGTGCAGCCCTAACGGCTCATTTGGTTTGTCCGGTGCCTGCTGAGAGGGCAGAAGATGTTGTCCTCTCAGGGACAAGCTATCTCATATTTCCCACTTATCTCGCATTTATTAAAGTTTCTGTGTTTGGCATTCAGAGTATTGACATAGCAGCAAAACACCATTTGCTATGTAAAGATATGGTGCAGTAATGGCGTCCTGAGCACAGAAAGAAGTCAAGGTACCTCTGTGTGATGGTCCTGCCACGCAAACACGTTACTGCATGCGTGTATCCCACGGGCTAGCTCATTGCCTCGGCTTTGCACTGCGCTCATATGGTGGTTATCGCTGATTTGGTCACAGAGGCAAAGCACCAGCCCACCAGTTCTCTCCTGGTGAGCACTGTTAGCTCTGTCAGCACTGTGGCGATTATATGGAGTATAGAATTAACTTTTGCTGGGGGAGTTTGCATGTTCTCCCTGTGTCAGCGTGGTTTTCCTCCAGGTACTCCAGCTTCCTCAAACAGTCCAAAGACACGCAGGTTAATTGGTGACTCTAAATTGTCCGTAGGTGTGAATGTGAGCGTGAATGGTTGTCTGTCTCTATGTGTCAGCCCTGTGATAGTGTGGTGACCTGTCCAGGGTGAACCCCGCCTCTCGCCCAGTGTCAGCTGGGATAGGCTCCAGCCCCCTGCGTTCCTCGGTTAGAAAATGGATGGATGGATGGCTGAGCAGCTATTTTCAGGTTTAGCACTCCGCTAACTTGAATGGGGGATACATTGATTTAGTCCTGTGGCTCCTCTAGACTTTACAGATGCTGTTGGATCAGACAAATCAAATCTCAACAGTGGAATGAGTCATTTACGTGGGCGCTGTCTCTCACTCTTCACCATCTACAATCCATAATATCATCAAAGGATCCAGATAACCCTGAGAAATCTCTGCATGTATGGGGCAAGGCCGAAGCCAACATTGAATGCCCGTGACCTTTGACCCCTCAAACTGCATTCCATTAAAAACTGACTTGACAGCAGACTTCTCTGAGATGGACTGACACAAAGTGGAAAAGTGCGCTTTGGTCTGACGAGTCCATCATGGACGTTGTGTCCTCCGGGCTAAAGAGGAAAAGGACCATCCAGACTGTCACCAGCTCAGTTCAAAGCCAGCATCTGTGATGGTATGGGGGTGTGTTAGTGCCTGTGGCATCCTGAGTAACTCACATCTGTGAAGGCACCATAAAAGGTACATAGAGATTTTGGAGCAACATATGCTGCCATCCAGATGATGCCTTTTTCAGGAACGTCCGTGCTTATCCCAGCGAGACAATGAGACACATTCTGCACGTGTTACAGCAGCGTGGCTTCATAGAAGAAGAGTTCAGGCACTGGACTGACCTGCAACTGAAGTCTAGACCTGTCTCCCATTGAACATGTTGCGCATCATAAAGCACAAAATGCAGTAATGGAGGCTTCGGACTGTTGAGCAACTGAAGTCGTATAGCAGGCAAGAATGGGAGAGAATTTCACTTTCAAAACTTCACACTTATTGAGTGTTGTTTAAAAAAAAGGGTTGTTGGAAATGAAAAATTTTAATGATCAGTGTTTGCATTGGAATATTACTGGAGCCTTAAGTCACACAGGTCTCTAGTTTAGATAACTCAGTCTTTAGTACTGAACATAGTGCTGCAGAAAGGGGATGTAACTCACAATCACTTCATCTATCTTCGGCCTTTTCTGTTTCCTCTTTCTGACAGGGTACTTGATGTGTGAGTGTGTGTGTGTGTGTGTGTGTGTGTATGTGTGTGTGTGTGTGTGTGTGTGTGAGAGCATTTGTCAGGCAGTTTTTCACTCAGCTTGTCAAGGAAGTACACAAAGTTATTTTAGTCCTTTCTCAGGCTCTCTCTCTCTCTCTCTCTCTCTCTCTGTCTGTCTGTCTGTGCCACACCCACTCTCTCTCTCTTCCTCCCATGACACAGGCAGTATCTCTCATCCCCCCCCCCCCCCCCCCCCCCCCCCCCCCCCCCCCCCCCCCCCCCCCCCCCCCCCCCCCCCCNGCACAACACCAGGGTTTAGTGTGAGCTCGGCAGATAGATAGATGAGAAAGGGGAGTGGAAGCATGGATGGATAATTTTCTCCTCCTTTTTCAGGTTGGCTCTTAATTTATTCTGTTTTTTTTAAATAATATTTATTAGAATAAAGAATATTGCGAGCTTTATTTAATATTCTTAAAATATTGAATTTAGCATAGTAGAAATAACTTTAATAGTTGTTGTGTTGGATTATGAAGTGAAAGTTAAGTTAGTATTGCTCAGTGATGTCTGTCAGGTTGTTAGTGGGCTGATGCAGTGCTGTGTTCCAGTCAACTCAGACTAAAGGGGGGACATAATCAGCTGATTGGAGGGAACCTCTATGATAAATAAAGTGGGAAAAAAACAGGTCAAAATGAACGTGGCCAACAATGTCATGCACCTCAGTTTGTCCCAAAACTTTAGGTTTTACTCATGTTTGCCCACACCATTGTGAGGATGAGTTCCTGCACTAAGGCCTGTGGAAGATCACTTGTCCTTTATCAAGAATCTTCATCAAAATGCATCACTGTTTCTCAATGTAAAACAATATCTACTAATATTTTGACACACTTTCAAAGAATTTACGTGAAAAAAATCAGGAAAAATAAAATGAGCATGAACTGTCGCCCTAAAGCAAGAGGTTTCAGGGTCAAAACCTGTCAGCTGGATTGGGCTCTTAATGGTTTTTTTCCCAGGTCCTCTGTCTTCCTCCTGCAGCCCAAAGACATGCGGGTTAGAGTTAACTGGTGACTCTAAATTCCCTTGGATGTGAGCGTGAATGGCTGAAACTTTATTTAACTACAGGAAATTGCCATGCAGCAAAGAGTGCTAATGTAAAGAGTGCAAATATAAAAAGTCTAAAAGTCTTTTGTTACCTAAATCTAACCACGCACTTTTGTTGCCTAAACCTACCACGTACTTTTGTTGCCTAAACCTACCACGTACTTTTGTTGCCTAAACCTAACCACTTGCTTCTTTTGCATAAAAGTAATTACGTATTTTGTTGCCTAAACCTAACCATGTGCTTCTGTTGCATAAATGTAATCATGTACTTTTGTTGCCCCTAACCTAACCAGGTGCTTTTGTTGCCTAAATCTAATCACATACTTTTGTTGCCTAAACCTAACCAGGTGCTTTTGTTGCCTAAATCTAATCACATACTTTTGTTGCCTAAACCTAACTACGTACTTTTGTTGCCTAAACCTATCCACATGCTTTTGTTGCCTAAACTAACCACGTACTTTTGTTGCCTAAATCTAATCACGTGCTTTTGTTGCCTAAACCTAACGACATACTATGTTTCCAAAACCTAATCAGATGAATTGCGTTGCCTAAACCTAACCATGTGCTATTGTAACCTAAAGCTAACCACATGTTTCTGTTGCCTAAATCTAACCATGTGCTTCTGTTGCCTAAACCTAACCACGTGCTTTTGTTGCCTGAACCTTACCAGGTGAATTGTGTTGCCTAAACCTAACCAGGCAATTTTTGTTGCCTAAACCTAACCAGGTGATATTTTTTGCCTAAAGCTAACCACATGCGTTTGTTGCCTAAACCTAACCAGGTGATTTTTGTTGCCTAAACCTCACCACGTACTGTTGTTTCCCAAAGCTAACCACATGCGTTTGTTGCCTAAACCTAACCAGGTGAATTGTGTTGCCTAAACCTAAAGAAGTTAACTAAAAAACAATGTGTTTTACTTACGTTCTTAGTCTATTTTGAAGAGAGACTGTATCCATTTAATGAGCCGAAACTAAAATTTGACAGAGAAAGAGAGAACTTTATTAATTCTGAACAAAAACCAAGGTATTCTTGGATGTATCGGTGAGCACTTTGCTATTAACATACAAGATTTAAAGTAGCTTCAGTCAATATTCTTTATAGTAACAGTGGATGAACCATAGAAATAGAGCAAATAGAAAGAACATTGAACCATTTGCCGGGGTCATTTCACTAGCACAAAAGTCACTAGTACGGTTGTACTCTCATTGTGGTTAGTTGTTATGTTGACAGCACACGTCAGTGGGGCCGTTAAGTGCGTGACATTTACTAGTTTCTCAGTTTTGGCCTATTCGTACTCTATTTTCCTTATTAGTCAGTCAGTTTATATGGAAGTTAGTTGGGAGGTTACACTAAAGCGATTGCAATAGCATCAGTAGACATAGAAATGGCCGCTGCTTGATCATCCTGCTACGCTGATTTGAATAGGAACGTCCATTCTACTATTATTTCTCTTCTTTTTCGATGGCACCAACTATGGATGGGTGTAACGTGAAACTTGTCGATCATAGTCATGAACCTACAGAACATTATTAC